ACGACGGCCACTGACCGACAAGAACAAAACCGACCCGGGAGACTTGGGCAAAAGCCTCGATCCTGTGTATCAATCCGTGAATCCGTGAATGTACGTGATGTGGGATCCATGAGGACTCGCTGGCTAGCAGCGCGCACTTCAAAATATATTGCTACGATTCCACGTGATGTCGTCCTTTGAGTAAGTTTTACTCCTCCGTTGGCTTGGAGAGTTTTTGCTGGTCACGTTCTCTTTCACTCGTCGAACCTTTTTTGACTATATTTACTCAAGTGTGCACGTGCCGGGAAGCGGGAAAGGATAGTCATTAATAATGTAGGACGTACTCATAACAGCGAAACTCTATAAACGGGGATGTCTGTGAACAATCAGAGGGACTTACAAAGATGAACGTACTCTGGTCGGATAGGCGATATGTCACGCTAAGGCTAACGCTGAATACGTCCTGGCTAAACCTGTTCAACGGATTTATTTCAAGACACTCATCTGGTGGAGAATATCATCCAAACCTGCTAGCGTAAACGTCGTTGTACTTGAAGTTCTAGAGGAGATCGTAGCAAGAGGGTCAGCTAAGTACTCAAGAACATCGGCCTCCGTCAAAACTGAAGCGCGGTGCGACCTAGGGAAAACTATGCTCACCTTCCCGAACAAGAGGTGCTAATCACTATTAGCACAACTTTCCAGTTTTTTACGTTGTGACCCACGAGGTTTAATGAAAGGCTGCGTAGGGTTTCACTAACAAATGTAACTTAACATTGGTCAGTGTGCACTGCAAGTGTTTTTGAGTGTTTGTTCCAGATGGCCTAAGTGGTTAGAGCGCGAACTTACTGACCGGAAGGTTCATGGTTCGAATCCGACCTCCGCCACTCGACTTCCCCTGTCTAGGATTGGGCAACCTCGCAGTATCCCAGCCCTCGTGCTTCCTTCAGGTGGCATGGCAACTAGGCACCGGAAGGGTGCTACAGCTGAACGCTCTCTCTTGCCTAAGACGTCCAACAACATCTAGCCTTTCTCCCGTGTTGATCAGGTGTAGTTGAGATAGCTGACGTCGAACTGTCCGGTCTACAGAATCAAACTCAACCTTGAAGTCAGAGAATACCGAGGTTGTGGATCGTCTGTATCTACGATCTGTCAGCGCTCTCAACTACACCTGCTCAACAAGCGAGGAACGCTGGAGGTTGTGCAAATTTTTGCTTGCTCCAGTTGTATTGGCCCTGAGATAGGTGTGTTTGATGAAGTCAGTGCACCAATCGCAAAGGCCTGAATCTCGTTTTCTAATTTGTGTCACTTGTGGCGTCAAAGCAGCACACAACGGTTGATACTCCAGCGTTTCCGCCTTGTTAAGCAGGTTTAGTTGAGAGCGCTGACAGATCGAACTGACCGGTCTACGGAATCAAAGTCAAACTTTAAGTCAGAGAACATGAGGTTGTGGATCGTGTGTCTGTGATGTTGTTCCAATCGCTGATGGACGGTTACCATGTGATCGACGCTTGAGGTTCGTGGGTCAGGGTTTCACGTGCCGCCATAAGGAAACTATGAATCAGTGAGGTTTTTTTTACGACGAATCAAACTAACGCCTCTGTGGATACTGCGTTTACAGCGAGAACCCTTTTGAATTTGCATGTGATGATCTCTCCCGGGTAGACGCAAACGAGCTAGGCGGGTACTGGGTGAGGAATTTACTGCCGTCCTTGAAAACAGGAAATAATGGGCCCTCAAAACCGGGAGCACAATGTCGCTTGAATAGGGGTGTGCATTAGGATACTTGAGAGGCTCCATGTTTACGGTTCTGTTAAGGGCCAATATTCCCGGTTGAAAGTAGCAGATGACCGGCTCAACTGTTGTCTTAGGAATTCTTCCCAACCGCTCAAGTGTCCTTTGCTGGAGATCAAAAAGCCGTTGTGGTTCTGAATGGTTTCACTGACAACAGACTCCTGAGGACCTTGTTACAGATGGAGTATCGATTCTGATTCGCAAGACAATAGGGTAGAATGAATAGTGCTTTACTGGTCTAAGAGTGGACGTAGACAAGCTAGAAGTGAAGGCGAAGGCATGCTTATTACGAAACGACAGTGTGAACACAAATGATAGTCATGACATTCACCCTGGCTACTGGTTTGTGTGTAGAGAGGGGTAACTCGGACACAGGTACTAAATAAATGATTGTGGGAATCTACTAACAAATAATGATAAGTGTGGTGAGACTTCTCGGTTTGTAGAGTCGCGTACGCTGAGTCTGGATAAATCAGAGATGCAAGTGCATCGCCCGGGCACGAAGGTGAGACCGAAGTGTGATCTTCAACGTTATTGAGCGGAGGCGCGTGCAAGTTAGACAGAGTGAGTGCCTTCACTGGATGAGGTACGCGTGAACTCGTTGGCGTGTGTGAGATCTGAAGGAGCGATATGGCTGGCGGGTAGTGTCTTCTTTTCCGCCGGGAAGACATACATGGGCGTAATGTGGATTGCAATTTATAACGACTGGTTCACACCCTGAGGCACGCCAAATATTTTCAGTAGAACAGGTTCTGGGGCAGTTAGCCAGTTTGATATGGAAAGACCGCAGGATGACCAACGTTCAAACTGAAACATTTCACGTGGAGTGGCCTTCGTGGAGACGCAGAAAAGGGACCGTATAAGGTGGAGGGCATCTGACATAGCCGACTCTCAGTGACAGATTTGAAGGCCTTTCGTCTTGGGTCTGAGCTGGATTGCGTTCAGAGTGTCCTATTGAGGCGTTTGACTTGCCCGCTCCCTGGGGATTATAAGTAGTTGTTGGGCTAGGACAAACTCCTATGTCATGTAGGAATGTGGACAGTTCGTCAGCTATGAATGAGGAGCCACGATCCGCAAGTACATATACCTGCGCAGGGGAAGACAAATGGAAAACGGGAAATCTCGTCAACGATAGTAAGGGTGTATCGGTTTCGAGTATCAGAAGGCAGAGGTCCTTTAAAATTGACGCTAATTCGTTTGAATGTTTTAATCGCTTTGATGAGCGTAGCAGGGGTGGTTTGTAAAATTGCGGTTTGATGGCGACAAAGACCGTACATTTTGTGGTGATGTCTTTGACATCTTGGACGGAAACTGGCAAGTTTATGGAAAGAACAAAGTGATGCACGTAAGTAATTCCGGAATGGCACAAAGAATCATGGATTCTTCGCAATGTACTACTCATAAGGTTGCTCAGTAGATTGCGTGGAAACGTCGCAAACGGGAGATTCAGCTGGGTTCCAGGTGGGTCTCTCGAAAAATCAAATTAGTTTGCAAACGAGTGTATTTCGCTAATTTCGTGCAATTTGGTTTCAAGTAGAACATAATGTTGACGGAATCTTGGGGACTTTTACCACCTGATGTGCCCCAAGAAGGGCGAAACCGGTCGTGGGCTGTCAAAGAATTTTCAGCAAACTTATGAGTAGCGCACTACGTGTATACATGCATTGCGCTATCTCGAATAACGTAGTGACTGAAACATGAGGCGGCCTGGTGCAGCACATTCGGTAGCCTGGAAACACCACAAAGAGAGATTCAGCTGGGTTCCAGGTGAGTCTATTAGTGCACAGGTGGTGATAGCCACTATACAAATCAGAAGGTGAATGTGCACTAATAGGAGTTTTTAATATGGTTGC